CGACCACTCGGCCAACGAGGCAGTCTTTAGAGGACTTTTAATATAAATAAATGAAATAATAATAATAATAACACCAAATACTAACATTACTATAAATATTGGGCGCGGTGGGAGCCAGTTGCCACCTGCGGACGGTGTCGTCGCTGGAGCACGACAGGAAGGCGCCGCCCTCCATGTCCACGCCCCAGATACACGCCGAGTGGTACAGCGCCGAGTGGGACTTGCCCACCTGTGGGGGACGATCGTTACAGATAAAGATATTATATTTGCAAATATGGGTAATACATTATATGGTGTTTAGGTGCATTGCGAGCTCAACCATATTTTACCAGGAGGCATGCAAATATGAATTAACAGATTATTAAAAAAAATAAATTATATAAAATAAAATCAAGATTATGCTACGTACTTATTAAATTGATTACAGAAATTAAAATAGTCGCATTAACAAAATATAGGTACAATGTCAAACGATTATAGTTAAGAAATGTCATAGTAAAATAGATGAAATGTCAATGTACAATGTTAATACACTATAATACAAGTAATACATTATACTTTTATATTAAAACGGATTTAATGAGCTCTATTCTACTGTGGCGACACATGTCATATGTCAACGGATAACGTCATAAAATCCTATGCGAAGTTTACATTCGAATCAACACGAGTAGAAAAACCTAACGAACAACTGTTGGGCGGAAAGCCCGCCAGACACGATCACCTCGCCTGGTCGGAGTGTACGAGTCATCGTACATTCTTTAAGAAATATTTAATAATTGTAACATTCGCAACTAATTGTGCAAGGCTGTAGGTATTGCTGACATTGTGACACACTTCGTCTATACTGTGAAGACCTTTGTATCTAAGATGATTTTTTTTTTTATGGGACAAGCCCGCCACAACCTCCCAAAACAGCTGCAACTCCTGTAAGCCAGGATCTACAGTAGATACAACCATGAAAACACCGGAACACTGAAGTCCGGCGCGTCCCAGGGACATGAATAACTGTCTTGGTTCCCGCAAAGAAGTGTGTGATGATTTGTGTAATTTTTAGTGTTAATAAATCGCTCAATTGTGTCGGTGGCGTTTACATTTTCACTATTCCCTGAACCCACATCGGGATCATACCGACACCATACACCAACTACACACAACATCATATGTACGAGAGCATACAGCCCGTTCACGGAGGATCCTCCTTTACCGATCTTAGGGAACTATACTCTCTGTTCCCTAAACTACCAATCAAGCTTTTCGTTTGAAACAAAAAGTACAGAAAGTCCAACTTATTAATATCCTTATATCCTTCTTTAGCTTCCATCATTCATCACAGTCATACTAACAGTTAGTACTTTGTACTCTTTGTACTCTTTACCGTCTCTTGCCTGGTTCTCGGTATTTGATTACTAATATAAAGTAAATAACTCCTTCATAACTTAAAAAAAAACGTTGCCCCACACTGAAATTTTCTCCTGTGTCGTGTGTACGTTTACAAACATACAAGTTCTCATACACATCACACCTAGACACGAAACAACAATCTGTGGATCACACAAAGAGTTATTCCGTGCGGGAATCGAACTCACGACACGTTACACGGCAGCCAGTTGTCCAGCCAGCGCGACAACCATGCAACTACGTTTAAAAAAAACCGACTTCAACCCCCTTTGATTTTGGAGTCTGTTAATTTATATACTAAAACCTCCTAAGTAACAAATAGTTTTCTGATTACCAAAATCGGTTCAGACAATCGGGTTTTAATAGCACACAAACATACATACAGAGGCCTTAGTACGAGTTTGTCTTCAGCGCTCTGATTGGTTGCTTCATTGGCGCCGGCCAATCAGATTGCCGAACGCGTACCCGTTTCGAATACTTTAAACGTAAATGAAACTTGTACTAAGGCCTCTGATTGGCCGGCGCCAATGAAGCAACCAATCAGAGACTTTAATACGAGTTTGTTTACGAGTTAGTTTGTTTTGGCCAGCACCAATGAAGCAACCAATCAGAGCGCCGAATGCGTAGGTACTCGTTACGATTACTTTGAACGTAAATTAAACTCGTACTATGGCCTCAAATCAAATAGGGAACCTCTTTTATTTGAAGTCAGTTGTTTAGTTAGAATATCAGTAGCTCAAATCAATTACACTAACGATACTATCAGTATAACACAGTCCACTATGAATACTGCTTTTATAATTTTTTTATAGTCTATGGTAATTATTATTTATTTATTTATTTATTTATTTATTTAAAACCTTACCTAAAACTATCATTACAGTTTTCTCCATTGCGATAGCTTAGGTCTAAAACTAAATCTATGTAGGTACCTAATTACTAATACATATGCATACACAAACTTAATTAATCTTAACATTTATCCATAAAAAAAAGAGATAATACTAAAGACTTTATGGTCACGAGATCAGCGGTGAACTACTTACTAAATAACAATAATAAAAAAAATGAAATGAAATAATAATCTTAATTAACATTTAAATAACATAATATATACAACGTAACTTTTACGAATTCACTCACATTGCAACATTGGTGATGAGAATATTTACTGAAACCACGAGATAAAACAAACGAAGTTTTTTTTAATCTACAAAATTGCAATCCCATATAAAAATACAAAATCCACGTTACACCCCAAACACAGTGATTATAATTTATTTTTGTCAGCGTTACGGGAGTGTTTCGTTTACACCCTTGTTACGCAGGCATAGCCGCGGTATATCGCTAAAGTTGTACGCCCTGACAATTGCGCTGACGCTGCGCCTCGTGTTGCTCGAAGGCGACACCGTTTACGCGAACTGTGTGATTGCGCCACGGGTAGATTCCAATAAGCATTCTTTGGCCAATCGTCGACTTATGAATACTTATCCTTCCTAATATCCTAATATTATAAATCGGAAAGTGGGTTTGTTTGTTTGTTTGTTTGTTCTGCTTTCACGACGTAATTACTAAACCGATTGCTTTGAATTTTTGCAGACGTAAAGTTGGAAGTCCGGATTAAATAATAGGGTACTTTTTATCCCACAAAAATTTGATATTCCCAAGGGAAAACAAAAGTATTGGTATACATGGCGCTGTGTGTATTGGTATATGTCGCATAGGCTACTTTTTATCCTTTTGTGACGCGAGCGAAGCCGCGGGTAAAAGCTAGTTAGATATAATTAATCTAATTTTTATTCTTTCAAAATAACTATCATAAAGTTAAACATCGTTTTATTTGACTGCCTCTGCTGCCACCGAATATATCTCCCTGTACGCAAATTATTGTTTCTTTATTTAAAAAGATAAAGGGTCAAAACGTTGTGATGCATACCCTCTTAATGTCCCTGACGTCCCACACGTACAGACTGTGGTCGTTGTAGACACACGTGAGCTTGTGGTTCCGCTCGTCGTACGTCAGCGCCACCGCGTCCGGGTAGCGCGCGTGAGGGGGCTGCGAGAACATGTGGCTGGAACCAGACATACCTATTTATATATATGTAAAATACATTCTTCTTTATCTATATTCTTTACTTGGTTAGTATATTTTTAAATATTTTATTATACAGGGTGAATTGTAACTCGATGTATTCCTCTCGGGAGGTGATAATACAACCAATTTCCTACAAAATCAACCCTGAGGTCTCTCGTCCGAAAGTGGCTAGTTTCTGAGATATTCAACATTTTCGGTTTTGGTGAAAAAATCCCGATCGAACTACAAAAAGATCAATAAATTAAAAACTGCCGGTTTGATTTAAGTGATTTTAGTTTTAATTTGTTGTCAATACATCAATACATATTTATTTATACTAATACTGGCAGACAAACTTGGCTCTGGCCAATGGCGCAAATGTAGGAAGCGGTATTTTTGGTTTGTCCGATCACAGCAGCTGTTAAATATTGAACGTACAAAGGCGTAACATTAGCTAATTCTCTATGGACGAAGAACGGGAGGGTCACACTAACGCCATATGGTGTGCAAAAATACGATACGTAGGACCGATTGCTTACTTTTAAATGGGACAAGCCCGTCACAACCTCCCAAAACCGCTACAACTCCTGTAAGCCAGGATCTACAGTAGATACAACCATGAAAACACCGGAACACTGAAGTCCGGCGCGTCCCAGGGACATGAGTAACAGTCTTGGTTCCCGCAACGAAGTGAATCAGAAGATATTATAAGAGGAGAAGAAGAAAAAACTATAGTTTTCACTTCCCTCGGTGAATTACTGCAGGAGACAGAATGAATTAAGCCTAAAGGCACAAAGAAGAGACTGTACAACTGGGTGAAGCCCAGTCGCCAAGCACCACGGAAATTTGACTAAAAAACTAAGTGGGTCCTATGTGTGAGCTGTTATACTTGCTTTCAATAATAGGTATGGCAAAAACGCCTAAACGCACGGAAATTCGTTCTAGATTCCACAAGGACCGATTGCTTACTATCAGGTGATCCGTCTCCTCGTTTGCCGTTTTATGCCATAAAAAGTAAGCTCACCTAATATTAGTCCCCAGCGCGACGTCGACCCCCAGGTAGTGCGTCCGGGGCAGCGTGGTGATGTACTGCAGCGTGTCGGGGGCGAAGCACCGCACGATGCCCTCGGCGCACCCCACGAATATGTAGTTCGAACCTATCGCCATGCAGTTTGCTGACGTAGTCTGGAAGAGAAAAAGATTAGTCATTAGAATAATAGTGAATTATTAATACTTTACTAAAATTACTTTTTTTATGGGATAATAAGCCGGTAAACTAGTAGACGGATCACCTGATGGTAAGCAATCGGCGTCGCCCATGGATAACTAGAACACCGAAGGCATTACAAGTGTGTTACCGACCTTTAAGGGATTAGGAATTGGAGGATTGTTGGGGTTTAAGGGATTGGGGAGATTGAAAGGGGGGGGGGGGTTATTGGGCGTCAGGTAACCTCACTCACACGACGAAACACAACGTAAGCGTTGTTTCATGTCGGTTTTCTGTGAGGCCGTGGTGTAAAAATTATAATATTTAAGAACCTATTCACTTCACCTGATATCCTATCTAGGCCTTCTTACTCATAATATCATTGTTTCGGGGGTAAAACTTACACAGAAAAACACAAAAAATAAATAATAGACTCACCCTCAACTCCACCCACTTATCAAGGAGCCTCCTACTGTTGAACTCACAGAGCAGGCCGCCCCGAGTGATGCAGTAGGTGCTGTCCCCGGCGGCCCCCCGCCCACAGACCACGTCACAGAACTCATTGTCCTTCTGCTCGCCCAGGATTGCTGAACGACCCATTAGGGGGACTGGCTCTTTGAACTGCGGATAGAGAATAGTAATATAAGTAATGTAATGTATTAAGAATTACGAAATTTCAATTAATCTTTTCAAAAACTGATTTCTAGAGCATTATTTGTCAAAATTAAAATTGACTTGACTGCACGGTTGGTGCGGTGGCTGGGCAACCGGCTGCCGTGCAACGTGTCGCGGGTTCGATTCCCGCACGGAACAACACTTTGTGTGATCCACAAATTATTGTTTCGGGTCTGGGTGTCATGTGTACGTGAACTTGAATATTCACGTGAGTAACCCGCCATGTTTAGTTAATTTAGTATGTATCACGATAGTTATTATAAAAACACAATCAATCTCTAATAATAAAATCATACAATAAAGAAATATAAGTAATTGAGCTCACCTTCGCATTCCTGGAGTACTCGAGATACCAGAACTTGACGTGCCTGAAGCCGACCGTCACGAAGTAGTTGCCATTCTCGGAGAAACTCACTGCTTTCACACGAGACGACACCTGGAAACATTATATAGAAAAAATAATGAGCAATGTATCTTTTATTTATGGGGTCCGGTAAACGAGCAGATGAAACATTAGGCCTTAGTACGAGTTTGTTTTACCGAAACGTTGACTGGAGCCAGCCAATCAGAGCTCTGAACGCGGTCTTGCTTGCGCGGTCGCGTTATGTATCTGATTGGCCGGCTCCGGTAAACCAACCAATCAGAAGCCTGACTAAGTACCAGTTTAGAATAGTTTAAACGTAAAAGAAACTCGTACTAAGGCCTCAGAGGAGTTACAAGTGCATTGCCGGCCTTTTGTGATTGGGGATTTGAGGATTTTTAAATTAGGTATGGGGGAGCCCGGAGCCGCGGACAACTTAACTGGTTACCGTAGCTCCGGCTCTATGCAGGAGTAGGAATGGGGGTGGTTTTTAGTCAACAAGAGTCTGACACTCTCTGTATCCTCGCCCAAGTCAAGGATGATTGAGGATAGGGCCCCCTCTCCCTTCACTCAAATGTCGTAATACTACGCAAGCGTTGTATTACGTGAGTCCGCTGTATCCACTCCGGTCGAGCTGGACTTTCCTGCTCAATACACAAATCATATGTCTATAAGTGGCCACTGCTGACCAATAGCCTCTTCTCACACGAAGTAGGTTTGAGCATTAATCACCACGGTTGGGTTGGCGATTACAAACTTATAATTAGAATTTATAGCCCGGGTTTCCTCACGATGGTTTTCTTCACCATATATCAGAGGTGTGTAGATTGATAAAATAGTATACATACGATTTTCATATATTATCTGTGGCTAACTGGCCACTTTCAATAGGGAAACCTATTTATGTTCGTCTTTTGTTTTGTAAAATATATGAGTGTTTCTGACTAGCTTATTTAATTCACACGATAAATAATTATTGCATTATATATTTATAATATAATTATGTATAACACATGCCTTATTGCTAGCCAGCTTGAGATTAGCTCGCCAGTCCCACACGTTGACGATCATGTCATGCTGCGATCCTATCGACACCAAGTACTTCGATGACGTCGAGAATGCCTGTAAAACAAATTGTTCAGAAGGTTATTATGCACCTTACACGAAAATATAACCATTTCATGTTTAATTATTTAAACAAATTATTAACTTCATATTTTAAATAATTTATTTAATTCTATTGTCTGTTACTAATTGTGGATACCAGTAATCGGCTTTTTGTTGCATACCACATTCTTCTTCTTCTTTAGCCTTTTTCTACCCTTAGGGTGTAGGCTTACTTCAGTTTCTGCCATCTCTTTCGGTCTTGAGCAATTAGTATTAATAAATGTTTATTGATGTATTGACAACAAATTAAAACTAAAATGACTTAAGTCAACGCAGTGGTTTTCAATTTATTGATGTTTTTGTAGGTCGATCGGGATTTTTTCACCAAAACCGAAAATGTTGAATATCTCAGAAACTAGTCACATTCGGAGCAGAGACCTCGAGGCTGATTTTGTAGGAAATTAGTTAACATCGAGTTACAATTCACCCTGTATAATAGTTTGCCTTGGGGATAACACCGCTGTCTGGTATTTTAATTACATATTAAGTAATGACAGAACAATTATGTATATGTAAATTACTCACAACACAACTAACGCCATGCGTGTGTCCAATGAACTCCGCTATCTGTACCGCTCCAGATGCCGTGGGATCCTGAAAATATAAAACAAAAACATAAATAAACCATTTCAGACTAAATAGCATTGTTTAAAAAAATGTAAGAAAACTTTATGCTACTTGCCAATAGATGGCGTTACCAGTATTATATTCTTAGGAACTATCAACAGATACCACAGTTGCGGCTACTCGTCACTAGATGGCGCTAGTGGTTTGATAAACAATTTCATAGCAACTCGCAGTAGTATTGCGTCGCATTGCAATTTTTGAAGAAACAAGAACTCTTTTCAAACTAAATTAAAACGAAAAAACATTAAAATAATGAAGCTATCTGGACCGACAACCTTTTGTGATGCAAATAGACATACATAA